AAAGGGCCAAGCTCTCAGGGGCCAAGATCTTATAGAGCCCACGCCGGCAAGACATTTTTTGCAACTCAGGCGCCAACATATTTTATCATCTCATACGTGTCAAAAAATGTATACTCGTCGCATGCGAAAAGCATGCTGCCGTTCTCCAAACACAGGTCGCGAGACGCACTGAGGGCCGGGCTGGTCGCGATAAGGTCACGCCAAAGAGTCAGTGAAAGGCGGTCGCCTGAGCAAGGTGAGAGCGGATCCGCGGGCTGTTGGCCTCAAAAGATCCATCCACGCACGCAGTTGTTGCAAGCGTAAGCGAAAACGCGACCGACCAGAAAACATCCTGGGTGCAAGCAAAGCAGAACTGATTTTGCTCAAAGCATAGGGAAAAACGCCACTGGTCGCAACAATCGGCCGCGGCTCACAGCTTCTCGCATCGCCAAACTCTCGGAATGCCCCGACTCTTTATCTGGAAGACACAACGGCTTCGTTCAACGGCTACGGATGGGGAGATATATGCCTAGACTCTTCGTTCAAAGTCCGGACCATTTTTCCGAAATATCCCGGATATTTCGATAGTCGCACTCCAGACCATTTTTCCGAAATATTCCGGATATTTCGACGATAGCATTTCCCGAAATATTTGGAATATTTCGGGAAAATGGTTCTGAAAATATTCGGAATATTTTAAGAAAATGGTGGATGGCTGCGATTCCCAGACCGTTTTCCCGAAATATCTAGAATATTTCGGGAAATTGGTCCCCACAAAAAATGAAGCCACTATGTCTTCCGCACATATGCCCGGGGTAGCCCGGACAGATTTGGGCGAGCGATCCGTAGGAATTATGAAGCGGTTACATCTTCCCGGGGCAGTCCGGACCAATTTTCCGAAATATCCGGGATTTTTCGGAAAAGCGGTCCGGGAAAACGCGCGCAAGTGCGACGAGCAAGTTTCACGGTTTCGTTTTATAGAGTAAATACCAAAAAATATATATATATATATATATATTTATATTTAATATAAATATTTGTTTTTATTAAAATATAAATATTTTTATATTAAAATATAAATATAAATATATATACATATTAAAAATATATTCATTATCATTACCTTATCTGGCATTTGCTTCTGTTTCCCAATACTATCGGGGAAATGTCTGGGTCTGTCGCGTCAATGGGTCGCTTAGCAAATCTTGCTCCACATCTGCCAAAGGAAGCAAAACCTGAATAGGCTCCATCGATGCCCTATCATCCTGACAGCTTGCAGGGGAAAGACTGCCAAATCATCTGCCAATCGATGCCCTGATAGGGTTGCAAGGCTTTGCCCTTGGAAGGAGTCGCTTTAAAATGACAATGCGATGGAAAGCACAATCGCCTCCTGCCCTGCAAGTCAAGTCGCAATGCCATCCTCTCTGGGCGCAAGAAAGGTACATTTTGCCCAGCCAAGCCTTCCACTTCGCGATCTTCGCCTTCCGCCTCCTTCTTCTTCTTTCCCTTCCTCATCCCTCTCTTCGCCCACTTCGCGATCTTCGCCTTCCGCCTCCTTCTTCTTCTTTCCCTTCCTGGCGTACTGCAGGACTTCTTCCTCTGCGGGGCTCAGGGGCTCGGCCATGTTGGCTTCTTTGAGCCTCTGCAGGGTCCTCCCCTGGCTCACAACATTCTACAAGCTGCTCCGCCTTGAGCACCACCTTGGCTCTCCACTAAGTGCCTGCCCAAGAATAAATTGCTTTGGCCGCAGCTTCAATGGATGGGTAATAACAGGACCAATCGCCCTTCTTGCCTGCCCCAATGAAAAACACTATACTCTCTTCCACCTCGCGCTCGCGGGGCTTTCCTGGAAAAAAAATTAACTTTCTCTGCAATGGCAAGTTCCTCCTGGCAAGGCAGCTCCTGCATGTTGAGCTCCTTGTAACCAGGGGCCGAGGGCTTGGCTTTTCCTCCTCTTCCTCTTCCTCCTGGCTCCTCCCAGCTCTCTCCTGCCCCTGCGCTCGCTCCTCCTGCCTGCTCCCCCTCTGCAGGCTGCCCTGCTGAAGACCTGGCTCTTCTTTGAAGCTTCTTGGAGCTCCTCCTCCCGGCTTGTCACAGCTCTTCCCTGCCTCTCACTCCTGCCTCCCCCCCCTTACAGGCTCTTCTTTGAGGGGTCCTGGGAAAAGGGATCGCGGGAGCCCAAGCCCTGGCGTGAGGCGCCGTTGAAAAGAAACCTCTTCAGATGGCCTCAAACAAAGCCAATGTTGGCCAGGAGCCAAGCCACTGCTTGACTTTGGAGTCAAATCCCTGATGCCCTTGAAGGTGCAGGCTCCCACGGCGCCCTGCAGCTCCTTCTTGAGGAAATCCCTATAGAAGGCTATGGGAATGCAACTTTCTGAAGAAATAAAATCCAAAACTTCATCCAGCATGTCATGGCAAACCGACAAGGTGGAGCTCACAGTCTTGCCCAGGCGTGGAGCCCTGACTTCGACTCTCAGACCTCCAACCTTGCTCAGGTTGGCGAGCAGACAGTCCACCACGAAAATCAGGCTCACCTTTCAAGACCTGAGCCTGTTCATAAAGGTGAATTGCAAGGAATACTCCCCGTTCGCTCCTGCACAAATTTCCCTATCTCAGACTGTGAGCGGCCTCCCAGGCGTAGCTCCAAAGTCCCCCATATCCAGGTGTCTGCAGGGTCAGACAGTCCAGGAAAAAGTTGGTGGCGAATGTAGGTGTGGACTGCTTCTCCAAAAAGGTCCAGTATTGCCCTCCCCAAACTGGGCTGCCCGAAAAGGCGTAGACGTAGGCAAAGGGACTTCCACGCCTGTCTGCCTGTGTCTGCCTGTGTCTGCCTGTGTCTGCCTGTGTCTGTTTGCATGTGTCTGCCTGGTGTCTGCCTGGTGTCTGCCTGTGTCTGCCTGTGTCTGCCTGTGTCTGCCTGTGTCTGCCTGTGTTTGCCTCTGTCTGCTTGTGTCTGCCTGTGTCTGCTTGTGTCTGCCTGTGTCTGCCTGTCTCTGCCTGTCTGCCTGTGTCTGCCTGTCTTTGGCTGTGTCTGCTTGTGTCTGCCTGTGTCTGCCTGTCTTTGCCTGTGTTTGCCTGTGTCTGCCTGTGTCTGCCTGTGTCTGCGTGTCTCTGCCTGTGTCTGCCTGTGTCTGCCTGTGTCTGCCTGTGTGCCTGTGTCTGCCTGTGTCTGGTTGTGTCTGCTTGTGTCTGCCTGTGCTTGTGTCTGCCTGTGTCTGCCTGTCTTTGCCTGTGTCTGCCTGTGTCTGCCTGTCTTTGCCTGTGTCTGCCTGTGTCTGCCTGTCTTTGCCTGTGTCTGCCTTGCCTGTGTCTGCTTGTGTCTGCCTGTGTTTGCCTGTGTCTGCCTGTGTCTGCCTGTGTTTGCCTATCTCTGCCTGTGTCTGCCTGTGTCTGCCTATCTCTGCCTGCCTGTGTCTGCCTGTGTCTGTGTCTGCTTGTTTCTGCCTGTGTCTGCCTGTCTCTGCCTGTGTCTGCAAACGTTCTTCTCCCGCCGGGAAAAGGCGGGTGGCTGGCGTGGATCTCCAGACCAATCCCTCACCGGACGCCCCAACAATTGAGCCTCAACTCTGTGGGGCTCCCAGACTGCATGCACGCAGCTTCTGGTAAGGACCAAGCAGGACTTCTCAGCTGACAGACCCACACTGCCACCGATTGACGCTGCCTTATGGGTGGCAATCAAAGCAAACGACGTGAGAAGTGCGCCTGTTGGCTTTCACTGGCGTGGACACTGGTCGAGCCTCGAAATTAAGCTTTGCAAAGATCTTCAAAACATCAACTAGAAAACAGCACACACGCATGAACACTTGATCCAAGGCCAAGGAACAAGAAATGTCTCAGCGCCAAATTGGCATCTGGTCTCAGCGCCAAATTAATAATCCCCCGTGAGCCATAGACCAAGAGGCAATGCACAGCAAAAGATACAGAAGTCTCATGCGATGCCAATGGCTCAAAGCGGCTTAATTAGTATCGGCACACTCATCCTGCAAAGGAGTTGCCAAGGCTCCCAGCGCTCTCGGCCCGCAAGCTCCTCAGCAATCTTCCAGCGTGCCTGCTGTTATCAGTGAGTCATCGCCATCCAAAATGCCCAAAATGCCATCAGGCAGGTCAAAGACCGTTGCATCCTTCGGAACAATGCCACCCACGTTGCTCTTGGCGATGAGCTCTGGAGCAAAGGTCAACTTTTCCACCACAGCAGCTAAAGAACTCCTCTGCAAATTTATGGAGCATGCTCCGTCTGTTGACCAGGAATGGCAACAGCTCCTCTCAAAGGACTTGTTTTGCTTGCTATGATGATGTTTTGAATACCATGCAAGTTCATGCCACACGTTTGCAGGAGAAAAGGATAAACGGCTCTGAACTAAAGGCAACAAAGGCTCAGCTTTTGCAGCAAATCCACAGCAACTTGACACTGGTTACGCGGCGTGCTTGAGAGACGAGACAGAGCGCTGCTTCGGTTATTCCTTTCTTTCACGTCCTTCCCTGACTTCTTCATTCCATCCGTTCGGCTCACAAATAAAGACTTGATAAAGAAGGAGAACAGCAATAATGAAAGGTCGGGAACTTCTGGAGACATCAGCACAATTCCCACGCTCACTATAATGGCGTGGCGAAGCTTGCCGCTCTCCCGTCAGTCGCCGTGGTTCACTTCTTCATCCTACATCACTTCCAAATGGCTCCATGACATGCAACTAGTACTGGAAATAGAATTATCTCCATTAGTGTCTGTCCGCCTGCATGTCAGTTCACAAAATAAAGGGCGAAGTCGCAAACCACTGAAACTGTGTGAAACACATAACCGAGCTCGAGTTGAAGCTGCTCTGCAGCGCGTCGCAAAATAGCGGCGCATGACCAAACAATTCTTGGTTGCTCGCTTGGTAAGAAAGAGCAAAGGGTAGCAAATATCAAATCACATCAGCTATCCTCTAAACCATGCGCGTGTCACGCTTTGTTCGAGGATGTGTCCGAGTTTGCAATCATGTGTCAATGCCAGGACAGGCATTGACTTGAAAAGGCACACTTTTGCAAAGCTAAGCAAGTGTCGCATCCACAGCCTCAACCCAAGCAACCCAAGCGCTCTCACAGGCATCACTTGCAAAAGACCTGACCGGGAAAAAACCAAATGAAAGACATGGAGAACAGTTGCTATTGCCACCTGTGTGCCACCTGTGTAAGCCGTTTCCACGCCTGATTCCCCAACGGCCTGGAATCAAAGAGAAAAAGGATTGAGCTTCAGGACGGGTATCTCGCCATGCCAGTCAACAAGATTGTAAATTTAGTTGAAACCCTGTTCATGCAAATCCTGTCAACATGATGAACAACGAATGTTAGTAGGGAGAATAATGGCAATATTCAAGTAGATTTTGAAGCTGGGGTGGGGTATGAGTGTTGAACTGGGGGTTGTGGCTCTCTTCAGAAGTCATGAACCTCATGAACCTCATGTTATGACTCATGAACCTGGCAAAACCAAACCCAAGGTCCATATTGGTCTTTCATCGCAGTGTTGCGGCGGAACTCCAGGTACTGTTCCTTCTTGGACAACGCCTTGAAGAAGGCCACAAGCTGGTAAACACAACGTCACCGCCCAATATTTTCATCTTCAGAACAAAACGGGTGATTGAAATGTTGAGTTGAGTCATTGAAGCGCCGGTGCATAGATTTGGCTACGACTGCCTGAATCTTCTGTTTAACCTGCCACGCCATTGTCACGTCCTCCTTGTTAATCCCCGCCTGCAACTTTGCAATCAGAAAGCCGGTTTTGAGATGTGTGTTGGAGACACAATGACTGGTTTGGTTTTCGAAATGTGGCAACTTTCTTATTTGTTCCTCTTGGCTCTTGCCTGAAACTTTGATGGCTGTGCTGGCGTGTCCACGAACAAAGCATCGATTTCTTCATGTAGAGCCACCACGAGGGTTGAGAGCAATCTCCTGGAACAATCTCGCTACAAGGGGTCTTTCACCATGGACAATTGTTACCTGGTTTCACTTGAATAGGCCCAAAACCAAGGGCGGCATCTTGGCGTGACTGCGGCCGGAATCGCATGCCGGAAATCGCTTTAAGTAAGCCGCCGAAACGCGAGCCTCATCGAAGCGCGCGCAAAGCTCTTGGAACTTGGCGTCCTCCGTGGAGGTCCAAACCTCGGCGCCAAATTCTCAAATCAAAGCACCAACAAATTGCCAACAAGCTGTCAAGCGTTGTGCGAAGAGTTCAAGCAAAAAACCATACCCTCCACCGCGGCTGCTTGAAAGGACACGCATTCAGGCAAAACCCGCGCTCTATGGGCACTGGCGCTTGACAGGTCCCAAGCTCCCAACATAGTCAGGTGATACTTTCTTCTCGGTCATCTCCTTGAGGTCCTTGGGCCATGCGTCAGGCAAAGTTGCAGCAAGTAAACTGCCGACATTTTTCTCAGAACAACCTTTTCTCCCAATATCTATCCTCATTTTGAGCGCCACTCCCTGTTTCTTGTTTTGGTCTGTGCTTGGTTCCACAGATCCACTCATGTGCGGTTGTCTCTTGCCATTGGCCCAGGCCTGGTGGCATCATAAGCTGGAATGACACAGATTTCACCTCCTTGCTGTATGGTGGTATTGATTGCATTTGTTTCCACTGGAAAACCACACGCTGCTTACATAATTGGTTTTCTATCTCAACATATACGTTTGGCACCGGAATAGACTCATGTTCGGGGCCTGACAAGTTCACATTCGGGGCCCATCTCGCTTGGGACCTCCTATTTTCAACTGCAACAGCGGAGCCTGGTTTTCCGAAAAGCAGGATGTCAAGCGCAAAGGGCGGCAGATCCCGCACGGTTTTTCTTGGAAGCCGTCATCACGGCGGAACAGCTTCACATGAGGAGACCATCCACTTATCAATGAACGCTAAACTGTTTCCAGGTTGGCTTCGGTAGGAGGATCTCGCGAAGGACTCACTCACAGTTGTTGAGCCAGACAAGGAACGCACGCTCTCATTCTCATATACCACGGGTTGGACAATGAATGACTCATAGATCCATCCACAACACTCTCCGCGGATACGCAGCCACAAAGTTGTCCTACATAGATTTTTCAGTTTCTTCAAAAAATCATTTCAGGAGACTCAGAGCAGTGTGGGAAGACACAGCGCCGACTTTCACTTAAACCAGGCCTGAATATTCAGGCTATCCATGTCGCCAATCAGAGCCGGCGTGAACAACATGATCAAAGGCTTGACGAAATGATAGCGTACGTCGGGGACAGCCACAAAGAGCCGCAGTTCCAATGATGCCTGGCCCACTCTTCCTGGGAGACGACGGTTCAGTTTGGGTCGAGATTTAATTTGGGATTTGTGTTGTGTTTTTGGATTTTGCCTGTTTTCCGTCTTGACTAGTAAAATCCTGTATTTTACAGTATTCTCTTACGAACTGTACGCACTTTACACTAGCCCGTCAACATCATCATCAACGTTTTCAACATCCCCCGCATGTCCAGCCAACATCTCCAGCACCACCAGCAAATCGAGCGCTTCCGACATCCTCAGCATCATCAGTTCCTCTCTGGCAAGGGTAGGTAGGTAGTTACGTGCGCATGTTAAAAAGCTGCGAGGGTCCCCCTTTTGATTGAGCGAGGATTCAAATGCGGGTGCAACTTAGTCCCTGTAAAAAACGATAAAATAGCGGCGGGGTTGGGGGGGGCGGTAGGCCCCCATGAAAGTGATTCAGTTAACGTCAAAACCTCTAAAAAGTCGCCCGGGGGTTGGGGGGGGGAACCGGGGCTCCTGGGGTGGGGCTTTTATCCAGGGATTTTTCCCAATGTTCATTTTCAACAAGCATTCCACAGTGTTCATTTCACCTAATGGGTTTCTAAGGATTTCCTGAAATTTCTGAACATTTTGTACAGATTTTTCATTTAATAGCAGTCTAAGATTTTGACATTTTCAAGGTTCAGGTTTCAGACATGTTTTAAGCTTTCTGGGGGATACAAGGTGTTTAACCATATTATAAATTAATAATATGAAGAAACTGACTAACATTTACTTTTGCATACGGCTCAATAGCATTTCGCGGGATTTTATATAAGTCTACCTGTTTATGTGTAGAACAATTATCGCCCCATTCCGCTTTGGTTTTTGGTGGCAGTCTTTGTGCTGCTTGGCTGTGTTTATTACCAATTACTTTACCACAGTTTTTTTACATAATGGTCCAGGATTCCAAGTGTTTAGATTGTTCCATAACCTAGTTCGCTTCCTGTAATTAAGTCCATATTTACAATCGTCAATGTCATTAAACCTTAACCCATGCATAAACGACTGATTTTTCAATAATCAAGTCTGCGGATTTTCAACAACAAAATGCGGAAAACCGAAATAGTCAATTATCTATCATGTTTTAACACACCACTCTTAGCATATTCAACGTTCCTTGTTCCTGTTGTTTTTGCTTTGCTGTATTCCGCGCAAATTAAATCAAAATGGTTCTTATCAAACTGCTTATAACCCCGTCCAAGTAAATCACAACTAATATCAGCATTTTTCAAATCCAATGATTGTACATTAGGACCAGGCGACCTTGCAATATGTCCCACACTACCTGTCCCACTAAATAGATTCTATTAGATTCATATTATTAGAATGATTTAGATATTTATTACATTACTTCATATTTTCCTTCTTCCTTCTTACTCAGTGTGTAATATTCCATAGTTTCTTGCTTCGGACATTTATTTTTGTAAATTTAGCGTATCCATATGAGGTTTTGTTTATCTCCATATGAACCAGAGGGTCTTCCTATCGGCTTTTTCTTAGAAATTTTGCTCCGTCAGCGGGTTTAACTTTCAACTTCTCATCAACAGTTTGAACGAAAGCGGTCAATGTTTTAACATTCTTACTAACAATGGCAATCTTTTTCATTAAGTCATGGATGCTAAAACTTTCCTGTTCGCTCATGTAAATAAAAAATTATACATTTATGTATTTGTTTGTGCGTTTGAACTGATGTTAAATCTACTCTATATATATTATTGTTTCATCATTTCTCGTATGGCTTCCTGTGTTTCATTGCCACCATTATTAGATGGTGTGGCTCTCCGACCCCATTTAAATGTAATATTATGGACGTCTGTTTCTAAATTTGTATCACCGTCTTTAGTTTTATCAATATGCATTTCCTTATCCTTCTTACTTACCTTGAAACCTATTGGCACACAAGAACATTTACAATTTCCATTCTTCTGTATTTCTAATTCGTCTTTCATTTCTAACATCTTTTTACACATCCGACAAGCAAACTCGGCAACTGCTGTTTGATAAAATCACTTCTTCGCTATCTTCATCTCTTGAAGAAACACTTAGCCTTCTCTTAATATGTTTTCCAACTATATTAAGATTTACATTATATGTTCATACATATAACAACATTTTTAGTTTTGATATCAGTCACTATCTACTTTCTCTGCTTATCTGTTATATCAATATAGTCTGAATAACTTCTATTCATCAAAATATTAAGATGAATCACTATAATTAGTCTTATTGTTTAGAATATTCGGGGGCTCTTCGCACTGGCAACACACAAGCGGGGCTCAAACCAATTGAAACTAATTATCTTCAATGCTGCTTACTGATTGAAGCAATGGAAAGCCTGTTCCCATTTCAAGATACATCCCCTAAATCGTATCTTGAGAAGATGTTCCATTCAATAATAAAACATAACTGATTTTCAAAATATCTTTAATATTACTTTATTATTCCTGAAAATTCACCACCAAACGTAGAACCAATAAGTGCTAGACAGTATGAGTTAAACAACCATCATACGATAAAGCGGATAAACTGCCATTTCGCTCAATCGTATTCAAAGCATCACAAGAAGGTAAAGGCATTTTGATACAGAACCTCTTGTTAAAAGTATATCGTAACCTTCTTGAACGCATACACATCGTCTCACCAACCGCCACGATTGATGAAGCGTATAGGGAAATTAGTAAATATGTAGAAACCGAATTAAAAGTTGATAATAATGAAGAACAGTACATATTTGGTGACTATAACCCAGAAAAATTACAAAATATAAATGATACACGGCATAAAATGCTAGTTTAAAAGAAAATAGGAATGAAGAAATGATTTTTCGCGCGTGCTCAGTATTGATGATTGCGCAGAAGAGAACACATTTATGAGATATAGTGAAATATTACATGGTTATATACAGAATCAAGACACTTCGGTTTATCCGTTATTACAGCCGATCAAAGATATAATGCGTTGGCTCCGATTGTTAGATTGAACACAAGTACTTTCTTTATATTTTACTTCAAAAATATGAGTGAGGTTGATGCATTTGTACTGGAACAATCAGCACTAGTAGATAAACAAACACTAGCCCAGCATTGCAACCCAACAGCTACACCATAACCTAGCCAAGGAAGTTGCCACTAAACTCAGCACCCTTTTGCGTCAAATTGGGTAGCGCTTGCAGCAATGCACCTGGCGCATGAAGCTGACAGTTAAGGAGCGGAAATCACATATTTCCAGGGAACAGCGGAAACGCGTGTTTTTTGCTAGTTTGAGTGGGGTAGGTATGGGTAGGTGGTATGCGGGGCAAGAACTTTGCCGAAATTCGTTAGGAGGCTCTGCACTCAACCTGAACCCTCCAAAAGTACTGAAATTTCCGTACATGCAGAAAAGAACGTCAATGTACACTTTTGAGGAAATTTGAGGGAATCGCTTTTGGCAGGCTGTGAGCGTGTGTGGGGCACATGGATGCACATGAACACAGTTTGCAATTTACATGGTCCGTCAGATTTAGTTCCGTTTCAGGTCATTCGTCTCCTATTGCTGTGGGTCGACATGTGACAGCTTCCTTGCCGCTTTTGTGAGTTTGCAGTTTTCTCAGCCAAAATGTAAAAACAAGAAATGCACGGAAATCGGCGGGAGATGCACGGAAATCGGCGGGAAAAATACTGCGGAAAAAGGTACGGAAACGGAACGTTAACTTGGCCAAATGCGCAACTTGTATTCTTGGTGAATTGCACACCTTCAAATAGTTTTTCTTGGCCCATGAGACAATCGCCAGTGCCAGCGCGGGAGCTGAACGTGAGATTCTTGTAGAAAAGCCGTTGAATGCTCCTGTGTCTTGCGTTGAGCCTGCAAGAAAAGTACAGTTTTTGCTCAAATGTATGGATTTCAAGGAAATGCACGGATTTTTGCCGCCCTCCCTCCCTCCCTCCCGCCCTCCCTGCAAAAATGCCAAGACATTGTTTAATGTGAGATGTCCAACTATGTTTAAACAATATATTTTTTACGCAGTGCGAACATCTGGTTCCGTCTGGCCACACCCCTCCCTTCTTCTGGCCGGGCGAAGTCAACGAACTAACTGGCC